ACAACCCAGTCCCGACAGAAGCTCCCTGTGCCCCTTGCATGACCTGTCAGACTCAGAACTCCTCAGTATATAGCCATTTCGATCGGCCATCCTCTCCATGACTTATCAAGGTGGCCGAAAGGGGGGAGTGAAGCAGAATATTAAAAATAATACCTTAATCTAAATAAGGCCTGTCTGATATCACACAAGATTTTCAAAAGTATTTAAGACATTGGTTAGTCTGTCCCTATAAACTCTGGATGACCTTCTGTTTCCTGTTTTTCCTAAGCTAGACTAGTGGTTTGGAGCTTCCTTTGGAAGCCATTTCCTCTTTAAAGTGTGCTAACAATGTTATCTTCCCCAACTAAGGTGTCTGTAGTTCACGGATTCGGGTATAACTATTTTTTATAGCTTCCTTTGCAAAAACATATGTTCTTATCTCCTATTGTGTATGTGATTTAAGCTGACATAGGTAATGTAACCTCAAGAAGACAATACATGCATACTCAAGATGTTTCCTTTTGATAAAGTGTTTCTATATGAAGAAAGAGGAAAAACAACTTTTCATTGTCTGAGGCTAGTGACGTGATAAAACTTATAGTATATAATGTGAATGACTGCAAGACTTGGGAAGCTAGCATTTTGGATATCACTTTGGTGATAGCTAGACTCAGGTGCCTTAATAAAGCTCTCCTCTTGTTAAAGAATCTGGTGTGGTCTTAATCTCTGGGCAAAACTCTTATCTCCCGTGCTTCACAGTCCCACACCTTCGCAAGGAAACCTTTGCTCTGCTGCTTGGCTTGGTAGCCCAGAGTGTTGCCCTGGGTAGGAGAGGTTCCATGTTCCAATGGCAGACAAACCCTGCCAGGGGTCCAAGCAAGAAAGGACTCATGCCACACTAAGCTTCAGCTTTCCCCCCCTTTTTGACGAGAATCCTTTGAGGCACCCACTGGGAAGTGAACCTAGGAGTTCGTGTTTCCTAAACAGGAGAGCAGGCCCTCAGTACAACCCCTCAAAAAGGACCAGGAGGAAATATTTGCATATTGCCAGTAATTAATGAAACAATAATGAAACAATTAATGAAAGAATAATAGACTAAATGAAACAATGATAGATTAAAATTGGAAAGTGACTTTCTATGGTATTTGGCTTGTATCTCAATGGGAATGCTCATGTGTAAAAAAATATAGGAGTTTGGTATTTTAATCTATTAGGCACTCTGGGATCCTGGTTGTGAATTCTGAGAGATTTGCAGGTTTGGTGAACTCAGTGGAGATGAGCTCTTGACAATATTTTATGTTTATGAGATGCAGCCAACCAACCATTGTGAAGATTCAAATCAACAGTACTGATTTTGTTATGAGATTGATTTCCTTCCTTTTTCATATAGACTACTGGGTTAAAGGTTAAAAAATCAATTGCCTTGGGAGCACAGAAGCTTTACACAGTATCCCTGATCTTCCATACTTTCTAATTAAGGGGGAAATGCTGTTGAAACAAATTACAAAGATGATCTGACTCCAATGGTAACAAGAGAAAGAAATTTTACTTACAAAAACAGAACCACATCTTATACGACATATTCATGTAGGTACATTTAACTAGAACAGATTAACTTCAAAAGGTTAACTTGCTACAGCTCCAAGCCCAGGTAAGAGAGAGAAGAGAGGTCCTATATAAGATGAAATCAGAAGGCAAGCAAGGGCCAAAGAGGCTCAACATCTAACCAATGAGAGGGTTGGGGCCAAGGGTACCTCAGTGAGAGAATTCTCTTAATCCTTTCCCTCCCAGATCCTCTTGCATGCAGAGTTAAAATAGCCAGCATAGACATTCAAATTAGACATATTGGTTGTTTTTATACAAGGGCAAATTTGGTGAAGTTGGCATAGCAAATCAGAAGTCACTTTGCATTGCAAGTTTAATCATTCAGATTACGGATTTGAATGGGGATTCAGCTGCTTGCTATAGCAGCTCTTGCTTCCCAGTGAAGCCCTTTATCAACAACAGAAGATTTTAAATTAGTATATTATCTGGAGTCTTGTTTTAATATCTAGTATAAAAAAGGTAAAGGTTCCCTTGCTCGAAAGCCAGTCGAATCTGACTCTAGGGTTGCGGTGCTCATCTCCGTTTCAAAGCCGAAGAGCCAGCGCTGTCCGAAGACATTTCCGTGGTCATGTGGCTGGCATGACTAAATACCAAGGCGCATGGAACGCTGTTACCTTCCCACTGAAGTGGTACCTATTTATCTACTTGCAATTTCTTGCTTTTGAACTGCTAGGTTGGTAGGAGCTGGAACTAGAGACGGGAGCTCACTCCATCATGCGGCAACTCAGGTCTTGAACTGCTGAACTACCGACCTTGTACAGCTTGCAGTTCAGTGTCTTAACCACTTGAGCCACCGCAGCTCCAAAATATTGAGTATACATGATATTTAATGTTTTACATTTTGTGTACAGCATATTTATTAACAGGTTGTATATTGTTTCTTTCATTATTGGAAAATGGCAATACATGTGTATATTTTCTCATAATTCTCACCTCTGACAAAAGGCAAAGGGCTGGTCTAAATGCAGTAGAAAAGAGCAAGAGTCTAGCAGCACCTTAAAGACTAGCACAATGTGTGGAAGGGTATGAGCTTTCGTGAGTTACTGCTCACTTCTTCAGATCTGGTCTGCATATTTATGATGGTGACTTCTGGATCATTCCCTGCTTGGGGGAGGGGTGTGGCAAGCTGCATGTGAATCAACTGGCCTTGTTGACATGTGTGCATAAAGGGCATTTTGAAGAAGACTGGATTTGTACACTGAACAATTGTATATGATTGTTTTCCACAGGATAAGAGCTTGTATGGTGAGCAGCTTCTTTGAGACTTCTACACTAGGTAAGGCCTCTGACAAGCAGGCAGCAAGAGGCATCTGAGTTGGCCTGTCCTTTAGAGAGCTGCTTTCCTAGAATCAATACCACACATGTGTAGCACAATGAAAGCATGCAGGGAGCCATTCTTGTGGTTCTGTATGTCTTCAGTAGACTTCTTTTTTGTTTGTTTGTTTTATTTCTCTCTTTTTAATGTTTGGTGTAGCGATTAAGCATGTGGACTCTAAACTAGGAGAACTGGGTTTGATTCCTCACTCCTCCACTTGCAGCTACTGGATGACTTTGGGCAAGCCATAGTTCTCTCAGAGCTGTTCTCTCAAGAACAATTCTCGCAGAGCTCTCTCAGCCCAGCCTACCTCACAGGGTGTCTGTTGTGGGGAGGGGAAGGGAAAGCAGTTTGTAAGCCACTCTGAGACTCTGAGTGAAGGGCAGGGTATAAATCTAATATCTTCCTCTCCTTCTTCAACAGAAAAAGAACAAAGGAAAAAACTTAAAATCCAGCAACTAAGTAAAGAAAAGAGGGGGGGGGGGGAGAATACCTAAAGACAAGACAAAATTCTAACAACAGTGCTGGTGGATCTACACATAATGTTCTATAAACAATTTCTAAAGATCTAAAAATAAGTCCATATTCAATTGCCATCTATATGCCATGTGTACAAATGTTGACAGAGTTCTAAGGTCTTTGATCCATTGATTTACTGGAGATTTAGCTGTAGTAAGGGCACAGAGGTTCCATTTTTGTTGATCCTTGGTTAGCCTCCAAAAGATGGGCAGATAGTTTAAAAATACATAAGGGTTGCGGTCACACGCGTCAGAAAAAACGGGGGGGGGGGGAGAGCAAGGCTATTCCTTTAAATTTGCCTGGCATTTGCACCTATGTCGGGTCTAATTGTGTGTATGATCGCAGCCAAGAATCCTCAAAAATCAATGAACATTTTAATACAAAATAGACCTGAATAATAACTTCTTCCCAGAAAAGCCAAATGACTGGACATGCCCAAAACATATGTTTAAAGATGTGTCCTGTAAGTTACAACATCAACGGTTAGATGCTTTACTCAGTCCTTTGCTAAAGAGTCACAGTGGTGTCCATTATATTCTAAACATAATTTTTTTTTTGCTGAATAAGTCTCAATTTAAGATCCATAGATAGAGTAGGTATAGACTTTAAGGCCATATTCCACTGCTTTGGCAAAATAGGGTGATCTAGCACCTTATACCAATCATTTCTCTGCTCATCTGTTTTCTGCCTTGATTTAAATAGAGTTTCCAGGAGCAAAGGGCATTTTGAGACACTTAATGCTGCAGGGTCATATTTAGATACCATCAAATGTTGCTGTTGGACTTTTTCATTAAGGCAAAAACAAAGAATACTGTGCCTAATGGTACATTTCTAAAATGCATGATTTTAAATGCTGCATTAAAAAAAAAAAGTGGGTTTTTTTCATAAGTGTTTTCCCCCCATCTCAACTATTTGTGGATAACTTGGATTACATACACCTAAAATAGGCTACTATTGAGTCATAATGCATGGATGTTTTCCTCATGGGTAAATATCAATGAAACGCCCCCACTCTATTGTTGCTTCCCCCAACTCAGTTCAGTGTTCCCTCCCGATGGCTGCCTTGAACTTTTGCAAACAATGCAGGAGATCTAGCCAGCTCCCACTGCCCCTTGGTTTATCTTTTCCTTATCCTTTCCTAGAACTAGCTTTTCAAATAACCTGTCTTCCATTTGCCCAGTTCTTCATGTGACCCCCCAAGAAACCCAATGCCTGCCAGACATTTTGCATTCCAGTTCTGCGTTCCATTTCATACCTATAGTCAAAAATGGTTTTTCTGCCCTGAGGCGAAGGAGTAAGAAAGGTGTCTGGTTACAACTGTGGTTTCTCAATGGAGCAACAGAGAGGGAGGCTGCTGCTGGGCTTCACTTGTGGCCATTCAGCATGAAAACAAGTTAAGTGACTGATCCGATCGGGCACACTTTGGAGGAGAGAGAGAAGAGTGGAGAGGGCTGGTATAAGGGATCGCATTTCATTGTGACATCACTGGTCGTCATCCCCCCCCCCCTCCTGCAAGCAGAGATGCAGACAAATCCACTGGAACAGGGGAAAATCCCAGCTGAAGGAGATATTCAGGAGGACATCCAGACTGGATGCCAGGACCTGGAAGCAGCCAGAGGTTCTGCCAAGTGTGAGATGAGGTAGGTACTTCCAACAGGGCACCAAACCAGGGAGAATAGAGTTGCTGGATCAAAATACTAAAACCAAGGGATGTTTTGGTGCTGCAGCGCTTTCTGCACTTAGACTACTAAGGAACTGGAAAGGCATAGAAATTATTTGCTGGAATTATGGCAGTGTAAGTCGTTTATGGTCATGGGCACCTGGTAACTCCAGCAAAGGGGGGGGGGGGATGTTGCATGCACGGGTTGATACCTTCTGATACTTCCCATTCTCTCCTCCCCCCCTTGCAGCTGAGCATGTTCCAGAGTCACTGCTCAGTTCCTGGATACTTCCTAAAATCCTAAAAGGTAGATTTCTGAAGTACAGACTTGGTCCAGAATTGGCTCCAAAGTTTCAGTCAGATGAAGGGATGGGGAGATATATACTCAGGGCTTCTTCTTGTTTTGGAAAAAAAGGTGCCGGAACTGTCAAAAGAGAAATGAAGTTTTCAATCTGTATACTGAAAATTCATGAACTTTTAAACATTTTAAAAAGAATTTTGTTGAAGAGGTTCCAGAACTTATGTGTTGTCTGTATTAAAGCTTAATAAAATAATTTTAAAAAGAGGTTCCAGAACTCCTTTCCGGCATGTTTCCCCAGAAAAAAAGCCCTGCATATACTTATCTTTACAAAACAAGTAAAAGCATTTTACCCTGTCCTTCTTCCAAGGAGCTAACAGTGGTCCTTACAGCAACCCTGTGAGGTAGTTTACACTGATATGGGAGTGACTAGTCCAGTGTCACTTAATAAAAACCATGGCTTACCACTCTAACCACTACACCACACTGTGACAACTCCAGAAAATCCTGCCTGCTGGGGAAGCCTGTTGACTTTTGAGGTTCCTGGTAGCCCTATGTCTCTATGGCTTCTGACACTGCATCCAGTCATTCTGAACTCCACAAGCAAACTTCCCTAAAACTGAGAGTGCTGTAGCCAAAGCCTAGCAAAGTTATGAAGCAGAGTATTGAGAATAATGTTGATCAATCTATCCTGAAGGGCTGCCTCCTTCAATGCCGATCTACATTTAAACTGATTCTGTGGTTTAACCTGGAAGCAAATCAGCCTGAAGTTTAAACTCTCTTTTTCATTTCTGAACAGGGTATGAGATGAAATCCTGTAGTATCATCACTTGAATTCAAAAACCGATTCTGTTGCTGGGTTTGTTTCCAGCTCAGCAAAAGTGTCTGTTCTTAACATGCTTATCCAGCTAAAGGTCTGGCATGAAATGTGCATGTCTGTGGTTAGGAAGGGGTGGGGGTAAAGGAGAACAATTCTGGGAAGGTTCATCTGTCACAATATGGCCCTTAATGCCCAGGGGTTATGGGGAGTGTGTTTTTCATAAAGCATTCAAGTGCCTTCTGGTATGGATTAGCTTGGTCTGAAACCTATATTGCTTGGTTATGTATTAAGATGGTCATGGCTAAGCTAGCCTGGCTATGCGATCTGGCAGACCTACAAACCTTTGGTCCGAGAACAATAGCCACCTCGTATCCTAGCGCGGACCAATAGGTTCGCCTGGATCCTGAAAGGGACCTATAGAAACTTGGGCCATGTAAATACAGCCTATCACGGGAATTGGGTGTGTGTTGGGTGTGAGTGTGGACACGCATATAAGCCGGCCTCGGACTGGCTGGTCTATCTTCCGTTGTGATGTAACCTAATAAACGTGCGCTGATTTCACCAAGCTGAGCCTCCGCACTCAGTACTTTTCAGCTTGCATCTAACTCTACATTATTGACTAACAATACTATGCATTTGTAGTGGGGTTACTATTTCTTAGAGTTTAGTTGGGCAGAGAAGTCTAATGGAGGCATCACAAAGAGACCCTGAAATGTTGAGTTCTGTCCCCAGAAATGGGAAGTGTGTCAATGGAGTAGAGTAGCCCAGAGAAGCTTACTTTTCTGTTACATTATGAAAAAATGTTGTCAAGTGGGGCAGAGTAGGGAGAAGAGGTGGGGCTCTAGAGTTCTTGTGCCCAACTGCTGTAGGAAAGAGGCATGAAAAGGATGTTGGGCAAAAGACAAGTAGGAGAACGGTGGTGAAATTCTTTTTTTGGCTCTGAATGAAGAAAGATACAGCCGGTATATCACATAGTTCCAGGGGCTGAAAGACAATCTACTCCAGTGGCCCTGTATAGACTAACAACATTTATTTCAATGTGAGCTTTCATGAGTCACAGCCCAGTACTTCAGGCAATAAGTATTAACTGCCCTCTGCATTCTAGTGGACAACAGGCTACAACAGGCACTAGGAGAACTGCCTTGGTGCAAAGCAATAAGTATAAGTGATTTGGGAGCAAGCTGAGCCTCATGCTGAGGAAAAGGCAAACCCTACTAAAAGGTTGGAGCTGCGGTGGCTCAAGTGGTTAAGACGCTGAACTGCAGGCTGTGGAAGGTCAGTAGTTCAGCGGTTCAAGACCCGGGTGCCGCAAGACAGGGTGAGCTCCTGTCTCTAGTTCCAGCTCCTGCCAACCTAGCAGTTCGAAAGCAAGAAATTGCAAGTAGATAAATAGGTACCACTTCAGTGGGAAGGTAACAGCATTCCGTGCGCCTTGGTGTTTAGTCATGCCGGCCACATGACCACGGAAACGTCTTCGGACAGCGCTGGCTCTTCGGCTTTGTAACGGAGATGAGCACCGCAACCCTAGAGTCGGATTCGACTGGCTTTCGAGCAAGGGAACCTTTACCTTTTTTTACTAAAAGGTTAGAGTTATGAGCTAATTGCACCTGGGAAATATAGTGCTCCTTTATGGTGATCAGGCTAGCCAATCTGTCTAGAGTTTCCATGGGAAATTGTATTGAGGTGAAACTCTGCGCCATCAAGTGTCCTTTCTGGTAAGGAATTGGAGGGGGGGGGAGAAACCAAAGATAATATTTTGGAGAGAAGGGAAGAGATACTTGCCTGATCCTTATAGGCTGCAGCTAAGATAAAATTTCCAGGGATTGTTATTTTGAGAACTACTGTGAGATATCTGACACAATGCAACAGATGTCCTGCCCTGCAAGCAGCCATATAGATTAAGCCAAACAGCCCTCTAGAATGTGAATGAACTGGCCCAGAAAGAAAATGATCATGGACAAGAATAACTTAGCACCCAGCATGACTGCTCCCTTTCTGACCTCTCAGTCTTTGTTCTAAAGGAAGCCTGCACAATGTAGTTGAAAAGCAAGCCTGGGGAATTAAAATTCCGAGTCTTATGGCAGATAAAAAACAGTGGGTTAAATAGGGGACGTGGGTTCCTGGGTTGTTACCAAAACATTCCATAGCCACCTGCTGGCTATTGTATTTTCCTATGCTAAAAACTTTATGAAAAGGTCATGATCTGAAGTGATGGAAACTTGCATCTGCAATTGCTCTTGCTCTGAGTACAGCCATCAAGATTTAGCTTTTTCTGTTTAGGCTTGCAAGAAGAGGTCTTAAATTGCATCCAGGGAGGCCTTCCATTTGTGCCTCCAGTACCCACACAATCCTTTCTAAATACCCACCATCCCAGTTTCCGGCACTTTCAGCATTGTTGTCATAAATACTTTTTAGGCTCTGGCAGCAACCTAAACCTTTCTAGAGAGGATGACTGGAGATGTCCGTTTTACCTTTTGAAGGCTCACAGAGGAAAGAATTCTGGCTGGTACAGTGTGCTATGCAAGGCGGAGAGAAGACATCGTAGTCAAATTCACTATTCAGAGTTGCAGACTCTGACTGAGATCATATGCACAATTAGACCTACCATAGGTGTGAATGCCGGGTGGATTTAAAGGGTGCGATCAAATACAAACATCTGGGAAGCATCCCTCAGCCATCAGCAACCTGTGTTAATCCACCGCAGAAACAGAGTAAACAGGCAACATGTTGCTATGGGCAGATGGACTTTCCCCTGTCTGATCGCTCCAGCGTGCTCTCATGGTGTCGGAATGGTCTGATCGGGCCATCCCAACTCCGTGTCGTTGTTTTTCCCCTTCTCAGTATGCACATCATCGCACACTCCATAGGGAGCCCTCATTGTGGAGGTGTGATTCATCGATTCCCCGTTTAAGCACACCAGAAACAAATGGCAACCCCCCCCCAAAAAAAACCCGACTCACCCGTGGTTGCAGCTGATCACACAGTGGTAGGCTGTGCCCGCAGCTTCCAAGGACTGTGTGATCGCACAACTGTGGGTCAAATTTCTCTGGAGGAAATAGCCTCCCCCCCCTTTTTCTGGTGCACGTGACCGCAACCTCTGTTCATGGTTGTTCCATTTATATATCATTAAGTCACAGCCACCTTATGGTGGCCCCATAGGGTTTTCAAGGCAAGAGACATTCAGAGGTGATTTGCCATTGCCTGTCTCTGTGTAGCATCCTTGGTATTCCTTGGTGGTCTCTCTCCCATTGAAATACTGACTAGGGCTGACCCTGCTTAACTTCTGAGATCAGGTTAGCTTGGACTATCCAGGTCAGGGCAGTTAGGACATACCTTACAGTAAAAGAGAAATATAACAGGATTTGCTAGAGAAAACAAACTCACACTCTGCTGCACATCTTCTTTGAGTGAGGGAGAGGCCAGCCCTTGGCCTCTGTTGGGTGAGCTTACCGAGGCCCTGTCCCCATCAGTGTTCTAATACTTCCATTCCGCTAGCTCATTTTCAAGATGCAAAGGAGATTTTTCTGCAGAGACGACCACAATAGGCATGTGCAATTAGATATTGCTGACCTGATACACTGTCCAATATTTTCTGATTCAGATTCCTGTTATTTCCTGATATTTTCCTCTCAATAAATATTGGAAATATGAAATCAGGTTGAGAAGCCTTTTGCTATTCACAGCTGGTCTATGGCACAGTGGGTCTTTAAATTTTTATGGGCCGTTATTTTTAATAGGAAGACTTGGCCTCCAAAGTCCCATTGAAAATAATGGCCCTTTAAAGTGAAAGAGCACCGCGGACTAGCTGGTGGCCCAAGCCCCTTCCTCTCTCTCCCCCCCTCTTCCCGCTCCTGCTACCTCT